AAGCTTTTTCAAGTTCAGACTGTCTGTTAGCGGAGGTGGTATCTTCCACTAATCTCTGATCTTGCTTAACTCGCTTTTCACTGAGAGAAGCTAGCCTTGAAGGGAAACAAACAATAATATGTTGTCTGAGTATGCTAATTATATGCCCATTCTACAGTTAAGAGAACTGCAGAAGAAAAATTGATTTCTGGTGGTCTAAATTGATGGACCGTGATTTGCATTTCGTTTATCCACTCACCTCTGAGTATAGTGGGTGATTTTCTCCTCCTTTTCTTCAAGTTCCCTCAAAAGAGAGTCATGTCTAAAATGAGACATTTGAAAGAAGAGCATCTCACCCCTGATATCGCGTATTTTTTATGGAGTTTTTCGGTAGAAATGGTGACCATCTCACAAACACAGAAGCTCAAATGTATTCACCATCGTCTCGATTTTGTCACATATAATGTATCTTGAGTTTAGATGTATGTCCCCTACTATCAGAATAAATTCTAAACGCGCAATTTAGATACTGGCGAGATTGCTTTACAACCAGTAAACATATTTCTTCTGAAACTATAAAAACATCTGTTTCGCTGAATTAACTGAATACAGACTTAATCATGCTCAACAATAATTATTTCGCATTTAGCCTTTTGTTAATAACAAGAAACAATGGTCATGTCTAACAACTAACTTTGGTGTTCATACCTGGATTTATGGTTTGTATGAATCCTGCTGAATTCCTCACTAATTGCCTGGATACGATCATTTTTCTCCGACAACCTTAGAGATAAGTTAATAAATGACTAAAACACTTCTTCGCAAGCGAGGAATTTGACATAAGATCCACTCAATACTGCATGATTGAGCTAAGACGGGCCGGGATTCAGCGGTGGACGACTGCAGCTCACTTGAACAAAATTATTGCAGGACGACAAGCACCTGTTTAACTCTGGATGTTCACATTAAGTGATATCAATAACAGTATGTAAAAGCATTTGAAAAAAATCGTTAGAATTGGAATATGACCTAAGTTAGAGACTTACTGTTCTCTCATTTTTTTTATTTCATCTGACAATTCATCGACCTTCTTCTGATGCTCATTTCTCAGGCCTTCAATTCTAGTAAAAAAGAGTTTGAAGTCTCATTTTTGATACCACTAAATTGCGCTGCAATAGCACATATCATAAAATTACCTTCATAGGACTGTTGTGAAGATTGCACTTTGTAACTAGTCGTTGAAATTGATGAAAGAAGACGAAGCTAAATAAATCAATGGTGAATATGAAAAATGGAACAAAAACATATCACCATTTAAAATGACTGTTTCGTATTGATTTGCAGTATAAGAATCACCACTAACATTTGCGGGTAAATTTATTGCCATCGAACTATATCCAATAATTTTTCCTCCATTCCCCCAAAAGCCTCCTTTTCGTCGTAAGTAACATAAGCTTGCCTATTCTGAAGTGGGCTTCAGAGCCACCCCAACCTCACGAAAGTTTAAAAAGTTGTGAACTCTGATAGGCATTGACTTTTCATTTGCTTCTCTCTTTGTTTCCAGAATCTGCCTTTCCTTCTTCCGCAGTTCACATCCAAGTCTAATAATTCTAACGATATGCAAGCGCGATATGCTATAGGCAAAGCTAAAGTAAAACAATAAACTTAAGGGACATTTAAGTCTTTTAGTGGAAACGCAGTTAACAGATTGCAGTCAATTAGAACATCACAAACAAAATGCTGCTCTAATATATCAACAAAGGTTATGAATATTCATTCATAAAACAAAAATAAGGTATCATCTTTCGTCTCACGATGGATTTATTTCCATTTCAGATGGAGAGGTTCCAAGTGCAAAAATCAATAATTTCCGTCGCAAATATGCAGTTATCAGGTCATACAAGATCAAGAGTTTTTATAATCTTTACTACGTCACCTTTTGTTCCCGGGGATGCATGAATTTCACTAAGTTTAGAGCAGATTATTCAGTGGCTGTAATTTCATCGACGAGCAAGGTTACGAGCACTAAACAGATGCATATGATTCAGTCTACGATCCAATTTGCACCAGCGAAAAATAATTTCGGAAAGTGGGAGAAGTCTCAAAGACCTTCAGAGTGATAACATTTGGAATAGGGCCGTTAACATTACGGACGCGATGCTCCCGTACTGTCTTTAACTAAATTTATTAATGAAAATGCACGATATCAGTGTTTAGTCTTCAGCAAGAATTATAATTTTTGAATCATACAAATTGGAAACTTACTTTTCCTCTTGCTGTTTCATATTTTCGTCTACCTCTTTTTCCTTCGCCTTCAATTCTTTTCTCGGTTTTGAAATTCTAAAGAGGGAAAGAGGTTATTTACATACCAAAAGCAACAAAGTAAGAGCCTAGGTGCTCGTTCCTTAAGCAGCGTTCGTGTACACCTTTTTTATCTCAAGTACCCCCTAGCATACCTTCGCTCTCCATCTAGAGCTCCAAAAGTGTCTCTATGGAGAGTGAGAAAAAAAAATATATTTTTCACTTATATGAGCAAACCGATAATTTTGCGCCTTATCTGTCGATTAGCCATTGAAACGACGTTCTAGCGATATTTTGAGACTAATTTTCTCGCCACTGAAGCTGTTCAAAATCATGTAAAGATGAACGACAGCACAAGAAAGACGGCAGCTAAATCAACAGTGTGAAAAACGCTTTTCCCATTCAAAAGGTAGACTTCAACTTTTTCGAGCTCTTTATCCATAACCAATCATGAAGAGTTCTCTTTTCATCGATTTGAAGAGATGTTCATCCGAGAGCATGGGCGTATCACTATATGGGAGGATCAAGTTGGTTCAAATCTTTTCTAGAATTTCACAAGTTATCGCAGTTTTTTTCGGTATATCGCGTGGGATTATTTTTAAATATCACCCTTAACCTTGCTGATTTAAAATTTGCTTTCAGATCGGTTTACTGGCACCTTTCTCTCGCGCACATCAGATTGTGCTTGCTTTTCATGGCATCAATTTCCGGGGTCATCTCTTCGATAGTTTGTTCTAATTCTGTTACCCTGTCAATGAAGAATACCAGAAATTTTCCTCTCTTGTTATTTTATGATTCAAAGAAAAAAAGTAATGAAGTAAGATAATTATGTTAACTACTGTTCAGCAATAAAAGTGATGATGATGATAGTATCAGCATCATTATAATCATTGTCATCATCAATGTCACTGTTTACAATTGTAAAGGGTAAGGTCAACGTTCGGTTACCGAGGAGTATTCAAAATTATTAGTAAATGATGATAACGTAGCGTAAAGTTATGATTGTTTAACTTAGGTCTTTCAATTTTGTTGCAAAAATTTAATTGGAAACCAAGAAAATAGAAGTTTCAGGATCTTGTTATATCTAAGCCTTTATTGTTTTTGCAAAGTTCATCGCGGCTTTCCTTAAGACTTTTGTTTTCATTTTGTTTTAAGAAAGAGTGTTGTAAAAGAATGAAATGAAATCGGAGGCTAAGCGAAGGAGAAGAGGGAAATGACAGAAAGCCTATGACCGCGATGTGGAAATGGGAGGAGTCTTACCCTAATTATAATTTGCAAAACGGAACTCGTAAAATCGATTTCAAACCCTTCATGGTCAATAAAACCAAAGTTGTTCTTGGTTTTTCAGCAAACGGCAACGTGGTAAGATCACACATATACACCGAGATCGATTTTTCTCTAAGTACTGCAGCACTCAGTCCTGTTTTAAACGTAAGTAGGACAACCATTCTCAACCCTATGCGCCGGTGTACGGAAACTCCCCTGAATCTGAGATGCACGTAAATCAAAGTCATATTTACCTTTTGGCTTTCCGGTTTATTTCTTCTTTTAAAAAAATCAGCTGTTTTTCCTCTTCTGATTGTTCCCTATTTGCTAGTCTATCTGGCTCATCTCTCCTGCTTAATCACAACAAAGTAGTTGATATGGTTGTCTCTATAACACTGAACACTTGTATATACTTGTAGTTCTATGGCACCTAATTCATTTTAAAGAAAGACAAATCTCTCATTCTGCAACAAAACACCTCGATATTTGTAAGAGTTGTTTCATGTATTGAGTTTTGGATACGCGCCGGAAGTTTGGAGACCAGGAGAGAAGCTTAAAAGTTGCTCAAAGCGTAGCCAAAAGCAAGTTTTACACCTCCTCCGGGTTTCAATGCCAGCCAGTTTTGGATTGACGATTTAGTGGGAGTCTGCAGAAAATCTCCTGATAAGTGTTGAGCGTCGAATGTAAGAAAAACCTTTATATAAGAACTCGTAAGTCCTACCTAATTCTTAATGAGCCATAATGGTGTCATATCCATCTATGTGTAAATATTCTGAATAATACTTGATTCAAAAAGCGCGAAGCTCTGTCAAGCGGCGAAATTAGCTTTACATTTTACGATTCTTCATTCTCAAACGCGAAATGAAAGTAATTGGTAATTTGGTGGTAAATTGGCAACCTAAAACTACTCAACATTTAAACTCGGACGAGTGTAATTTAGGCAAAATATGTTCGTATGAGAAGGGTATATTTTCATCAGTTTCCATTCATTCGTCAAGATACTCTTACATACCTTTGCTCGTTTGTTTTGGGCTGATCCGTAGTCGTTGTTTCCTTCTCGTGCCACTGCTCAATAATTTCTGGCAAAT